GCTTCCAACTTTTGCCAATTCATGATATAGTGCGACCACTAGTGAATGTCTTCGTTGGCGAGTATTTGTCCTCACCAGAACCACATGGGCATGTGCTGATGAAGAGTCCCAAAGTAGGACAAAACATCTGTCCAGTACTTTCAGGTTTTCCAATACTCCTCTAACCGATGTCAGTTCATAATGAAACCTTGAAACCAGTCAAATCCCTGTAAACCAACAGCTGAATACAGAAATATTTTTATTTAACTGAATAAACAGTATGCAGAGATCATATTTCAAAAGCATTACAAAGAGTGGTTATATGCTGTAACATAACATAACTAAACTAACTGAATATCAGGTAAATTAAGGGGTGTAAGACAAAATTTATGAATTAATATGCCTTACAGCAGGCCAGGGTAACAGTAGTGGCCAACTAGATCTGCGAGTTCTGCACACAGTGGCCTCTTCTATTTGTAGTGTTCAGTGTCTAGAGGTTTTTCGTAGTTTATTCGATACCCGGTACATGATAGAGAAAGATTCTTCAGTGCTAGCTAGCTTTGCGGCCTGTTTTCACGAGGTATTTCAATAGGAGAACTGTTGATAGTTTTAATAACGCCTTTATTTAACCACTCTGGTAGATATGTGCACCCAAAAGAGCGTGAAGAATTAGGTTCCTAGAGCTACTGTGATAAATATAACTGGTTAGCTCCACAGGACAGTGAGTGGCTAGCCTAAGGACGTTGTCCTCCACCTTCAAAAACACAACCGATTGTATGGTTATAATAATGCCTATTATCTATCTCTCTTAATGATGCCTTTGAAATGTAATCTGTCAATAGTACTGATTCAGTGCAGCTCAAAGTTAAGTTTGTTATATTCACCATACCATCCCGTAGCCAAATGGTTAGTCGAACTCTTACAGCCTCTACATACCGAGTTGGTGAAACGCAGTGTAAAGGATACTTTTGGATTTATTGAAAGGACAGAAGATTTAAATGTGGACAATAAATTCATGATATCATTTGATGTATCCTCCCTATTCACGAATGTACCACTTAGGGAAACAAGGGATTTTGTATGCGAAAAACTCAAAGGACGAAACATCGATGTAGGCATTCCTATATCTTTTATAAAAGAGCTTCCCTTGATTTGTACAATGAATGTCCACTTTTTATATAATGAGGAACTATATAGACAAATCGACGGTGTGGCAATGGGGTCACCACTAGGACCCATTCTAGCCGACATATTCCTTGTGAAACTAGAAAATGGGCCTTTTAAAGATGTAACTGATGAACTAGAATTCTACTGTTGGTACATGGATGATACATTTTTGATGATGAAAAATAAGGATGAAGCAAAGAATATCCTGGGCAAATTTAACGATGTTCATCCTACAATAAATTTTACCATCGAGAAAGAAAGGGACTCTAGTATTTCATTTCTAGACTTCCTTATGACCAGAAAAGAGGACAGGACAATAAGAAGAAGTGTATATAGAATACCTACATCAACTGGTCAGTGTACTCATTTTTTCAGCTTCGTGCCCTTGAAATACAAACGCAATCTGATAAAGTGCTTGGTCAGCCACAGAACAAGAGCAATCTGCCCTGTAGAATGTCTTAATGAAGAGCTTAATATTATTAAACAATTGCAAAGTGAGAACGGTTAACCAAAAAAATTTTTCGATAAGAATATGAATCAAAAATTAAGGCAGACCAAAGTACCAACTGACAATTGCGAAAAAAGCTTTATTCTTGCAACTTCAGTTCTTCGGGGATAACATCAGTGAGATATTATCACAACGCCTAAGGAATACGGTGAAAGGTAAAAAAAAGGAGCGTTCCCTGCTAATGAAGTACACTGTCTATTCACAACCACCCTTATTTTTATGATCGAGAGTTCAAGATAAACTGCTTAATTTTGCCTCTTTGATGTGTATCTACCAATTTGACTGCTCCTGTGGAGCCTTCCAGTTACAAGGGCCGTACAATAAGGTGTGCTTATCGACGGATTTCCGAAAATCACCCTGTGGGATTAAGTAAAGGATAAACACAATGCCTTGATAGCTCTGTTCTATCTCATCTTGTGGATACAGACAACACAAGATCGATGTTAACGAGGCTTTCAAAGTCATCTACTGCATACAAACTAATCTTAACTTTACCTTTAGAGTTCGTCTACTGCATATTGCTGAGGCCGTTAAGATTTACATTAAGAAACCTAACTTATGTATCCAAAAGAAATTGGTTGGTTCAGACACTGTCCTTAATGCCTTGGCCATCAAGGCTTTAATGATCCTCAATTTGTTGTAGAAATTTCCTTGATTTTATTTGATATTCTATTTGCTATTACATTTTTATGCTTATTATAACTTAAGTGTCTTTCTTGAACTGTAATTTGATTGACATAGGCAAGCGGTATTTTTTAATCATTGCCTGTGTTCAAATCAGCGTCTTTATTTCAATCTCAACGTACCACAAACATAACAAACATGTGAGTCTTCTTCTTCTTCTTCTTGAAAATACCGTCTTGGTTCAAGGAAATTCTACTAAGTAATAACCAGCAGTGCATTACTGTTAACCTCATCCATGTGAAGATTCAGTGAACTTAACACCCGGTTAGATATTATCCTGTCAACTGTAATCTCGCAGTGAATTAGAAGTAAGCGAGTAGACTATTAAAACTGATAGTGATACTTTCTGAGATAGCCATCTGCAATCATCGCCATTATCATCGACAAAGGTCTACCAATCCAAGACTAACTATCTCAAATAGCTTCACCCTTTGATATTTTGAAATTAACTATGAATGGTTACTAGACTGGATTGATAAATTATGTATTGCAGTCTTATTAAATAGTGTTTCAGTGATTCGTTGGTAAAATGCTGGGGGGGTCGACTTTTACACGACGTACACCTAGAGTTCTGTGATATGGTAGTCGGCCCAGAGAATATATATATAGATAGAGAAGGATTAATTTAGAGTCAGCGACAGAGATCTTATTGAAAGATGAATATTTATGCACTTAATTTAGCGTTTTCTAAATACTTGGCTCTGTTAGATGGTTGAAGACAATCATCAGGAAGCCCTGAACTTTGGTTTTGTGTTTGTTGATACCCACCTTATCTGTAATCTTGAAGCGTGTCGTGTTCCTTCTGCGATTTGAAATTGGGGAATCCAGTTCTGAGCTACTTGGACTCCTGACTGGCCTCCTGCTGAATGCTTCGAATGGACACTGGGTATTAAGTAACTAATATCATGCGCCCAGTCCTTGGTATGTTTGGTGCAGACTGAATTCTATCAGTCATGACGTTAGTTACTAACTGGTATCCAAATGAAAGGATTTTTAGCTTTGTTACAACGCCGATGGCAGTGGTTGGCAGTTGCGCTATCTATATCAAGAACTGTCAGAAGCTGGAATTCACAAGCCATTGGATCACATCCCATAAGCTAAGTGGTCAGCAACCTTGCCTTCTAACAGGAAGCTCCTAGTTTCTAACCCTGGTAGTGGGTGCGCGCTGCTGCTAAGGAGTTCCAAACTAGAACGAAACAGCTATCTAGTACTCCTTAGCTGGTTTTCCAAAAGTTCTATAACTAATGTCAAATGGTGATCAAACCTTTAATCAGTAAAATCTTTGAAAATCAAAAGTTTATAGCAAATGAAATCAACTTCGGTATTCATCATGGTCTTATCTGAGATTTCTGGTCGTTGGAAATATCTTTAATGCTATTTTAAGTGTGCTATATTCTGTAAGTAATGTGTAGCTGACATTTCTCCAACTTGTCCCCCTTTCAGTAACACTATAAATACCGTTTCAATAAAGCTAGGCTTGCAAACCACTTTCAATCTGTGAGTGGAAGGCAAAACTCAATAACACATCTATGGCTTCCAAAAGATTCTAGGAATTTAACCAATATTTAAAAGGAATCATCGTCTGTGCAACGCTAAGAAAAAACCAAAGCAGCTTAATAAAAATCCCTTCACCACATGATACAGGCAATAAATATTTGAATATTGCAAAATTATTTTCTGTACGGAATATCCTTTTTCAGTTAGTCAGACATATTTAAATGATGCAGTATTCATTCAACACACTGGAATCCCTTGTCACTATCATGAATATCACCGGTAATTGTTCACTCTTTTATAATGTAAAATAGTTAATACTATTATACGCTAAGAATGACTAATTACATTTTAGCATTAGATTAGGCCGTCGGGAAAGCAAGGCAAGCTTTCACTACTCTCAAGTCTGTGTGGAGTTCAACACTTACCACTAAGCATGAAAAATAAGATCCGGATTTTCAACTCCAATGTGAAGACAGTACTCCTTTCTATAACGATCAGAGACTTGGTGCCGCGTCACGAAGGTCACTTCAAACAAACTACAGACCTCCATCAACAGCTGTCCTCGTTCAATACTCAAGATCAAATGGCCAGAAAAGATCAGCAACAGAGATCTCTAGGAGAGAACCAACCTAGCAGGAACCGATTGTGCAGCAAATCTGCAGAAAGAAATGGAGGTGGATTGGGCAATACTCGGAGAAAACCATCAGGTGACATCACACGCGAGCATTGGTATTTTGTAATTGAGAGTGAAACCCAGCACCGATCATTTCAGATTCCAGAGAGTTATATATCAAGACCACCTGGACCAGAGTATTTAAAACGATGACAGGTGTTACAGTCAAATCTTCACAGAAATGACAACACTCATTGAGGATGAAGGCATACTGGACTGATGAATCTCAAATAGGACAGAATAAGCATTCTGGATTCCAGTGAAATTGCATCATTTTAATCTCCACAAGTGATCGAAGCACCCGTACTAACAGTCAACGTGTTGACTTAAACTGAACACTTCACTTCAACATAAACAATCAAGAGAAAATAAAAAAGCCAGTTTAAACAGGATATACATACAACTGAACCTTATAAAAGTGTTACTAGGATTCAAATTTAAAAAGGGTGATTAATAATGATAATAATAATAGTAATATTATTAAAGACTTACCTTCCAATGACGTGTAGGAACTGTTATAGCAATAAGCACTTTGTATTCACTACCGCTTGTTGTTGTCGTTGTGGTTGTTGTTGGCGTCGATGGTGTTGGTGAATGGTTAACGACATCTCGATTTAAATGTTGAATTGGCATGTATAATGAATAGATTGATATTTTATATTTTTAGCCAGTAAATTGTATTCGTTTTTATGTCTAAATATAAAGCATTCATTAGAAGACATAAATTTGTAGTTCATAAAGGCGGATAAACTTTATTGAGTTAATAGCAAGGGGAAAAACGAATTAATCGATTAGCAACCTATTCTCTGTCAGTTAACTTTTAGAAGTGACGCTTTAAGTCAATGTGCGTGGCTTAATCTGATTTCATTATGCATTTATATTATTTTGGTATTCTGTTCGTGATGGCTCTAAAATCTTTAAAAAACCTCAGATGATGTAGGTTTTGATGCAATACATATCAGATTTTATTACAGGAAACAACTGGAACGGCCTTGTTATAACCGATGTAATAAGAAAGAAGAATAGTAACATAAGCTAAACAGACTATTTTAGAACCGGAAATGCGAAATATAGAGTTTGTGTAATCAGATCAAATTTAAGTGCTGTTAATTTTTTAAATAGATCCTAAGAGACGTATTTCCTTGCTTGAATTACATTTCCAATGCTTCTGTTCTTAGTTTGTGGTCCAAGTCTGTGCGTCGGTGGCACAGTGGTTAGGACTCTCGCCGACCATGCACATGGTCCGGGGTTCGATTCCCTGCCGGCGCACACCCGATGTCTATGGTCGGCCTGAATTTGGGCTACCGGTATCCATGCTGAAAATTCCACACTTATACTGAAAATACGGTGTGGAATCAAGCTGTAAATCAAAAAAAAAGTACACAGTCATACAGTTCAAAAAATATACAATAACCTTGTTTGTCTATTTATCTCAAGGCACTTTTATATTCCCTTCTATAAATTTGCTGTAATGTCAAAATATTGAAAGTGGTCCGTACAAAAATATATATGGTCAAAACTTGAGAACCAAATCTGAGTTTAAATTAACTGTGTGTACTCATAACAACGCTAAGTAACAATTGCCTGCAATTTTACAGATAAATAAAGGAATTTCTTTGGTACTGTCTAAACAGATTACTTCCAGTTATATTCATGGTGCACCATTCTTTGTCTTAACTCACAAGTTTGCCTCACATAATCAAGTAAATAAATTCTAAAACTGTTTATAACTTATTTAACCGAAAACCTCTGGTGGTGCCAGACTTGTCCGAAGAAACAGAGGTATTATCAACAAAAGGTCCAGCATTACTGTCAACTGTCATAAGTAGCCATGCCATTAAAAAATAAAGATCGTGGAACATATACTATTTTAAAATGCCACAGAACAGCACCAGGAAAAAAGGAAAAATCATGAAAACAAAATAGCGGTTGTAACAGATAATATTTTGCCCGACTCAAATGTATAATCTCTCCTCCAGAAAATAAATCCGGTGTACTAAAAACAAATAACTTCAAATGTTTAATATTCAAAAAAATAGAAAACCCACATCAACTAACTAACAGTCATTATAATACTGGAGTATTTTGACAACAAAAGTGACAAAATGTTATCTGTCTGTTAATAAATCGAAACATTTTCGACATATATGACGTACGAATGAATAAAACAAAGGAGTAAAGACGCATAAATACCTAAAGCTTAATTTAACGGAAACAAGCATTGACTTTCGAAAAATTGCTGAATCTCAAAGACTTAAATTGACACGTTTAAACAAAATTCACACAGAATAAGATGTATTAAAAATAATTGGCTGTCCAGCTTTCACATGAATAAATTGCCGATAGTTAGTAGTTCTCTCTTAGTTATGATTACCCTGAACATGACAGTGCTGTTAAATTTTGTCGGCACACGTAGTGTGAAAGGCTTTGGTAAATATTCGAACACCTTGCTCCTTCAAATATGCCATTTTGTTAACCACTGTCACCATTTATGAATACAGTGTCATGAGTGAAACAAATCCTAAATCTCATATTGTCAATTTCTTGATTTATGAAGTGGAAAACACAAAAGCCTTAAAAACGTTGTCCTTTAGGTTTATTGTGTGTGGAGTAGGTTGCTTAATAGGTGCTGACTCAGATGACAGTGCTAGAATGATTCCTTCCACCAATATAGGCACAAAGAGAGGTGACGCTGTTGATTACCTTGGAAGATGTAGAGTGACCACAATACCGTGATTCGAATACTTCTCTCTCTCTTCCGCAGATATGTGGCTGGACAGTATATGTGTGTGAGTCAGAAATTTCCTATTGGCTATTATTATTAAGTCTGGATTAAGGGAAGTCAGGTATTTCTTCTGCGTCACACTCATGACTAATATTTTGTGTTCGAGTTGTTTTTGTAAGTTTGTAATCCTTAAAGGATCTTCGATAGCTTGTATCTGGTTGTTTTCAAGGATGTGGAGGAAAGAAGTGTAACCCACTTGTTCTTTGTTGTAGGGCCCCTCACACCACGTTTCCGCGTATTTTAGGCAAAGATAGGGGAGTTATTTCGGGGATAGTGTATGCCTGTCGGTATACTTTCGGCTTCCTCATGTGATACCCACAGAAGTAGCGTCTGTTGTGTCTCTCGGGTGAAGTTTTGTTAGATACTGGACGATTCGGTGGGTTACCCCTCTTTTCAATGACGTTATGTCTGCAGTGGTGTGAAATCTTTTTCAACTACAAAAGTAGTCGTTTCAAGAAGAGGCGCTGTTACTGACAGGTATTATATTTTCATGAATATCTGCTACAGTTGGTTTGCTCAAATCTAAGGGAATGGAAATTTATGCACAACATTCTACAGCTAGATAGGCTTTTGAGAAACTTGATGCACTTGCCCAGCCATGTCTTTGGCATGGCCTTAGTTCGGGAGTACGTTTAGCCTTACTATAAGGTGTGAATGAACAAGTAAACCAACAGACTACTGGAAACTTCTGATATCATTAGGGCTACTCAATTTTAACAGAACAGGACAGGTATAATTCCCTAATTTTTTCCCAAGCCTAATTGGGTGGCAACTTTTTGGGGCCCTGCCACAAGAAAATTCCTAAGGTAATGTAGGGCTTGCAATATCTCCCTGCAAGGTTTCTTCACTGAACTATCACCGGGCACATTGGTAGTGACGCACCCTGCTTAAATCATCTGTGACAGTCAAATTACCATTTTAAGTAAAAGCAGTAGTAGCGATGTTATTAAAAGTGTGATTGACCTATGAACTGAGGGATTGGAGTTTAACACTAAACCACATGCCAGTGAGGTATTCTTTGTTTTGTAAAATTTGTACAGGTACAAATGGAATTGGTGAAATTGGTGTTCTCGGGATATGTATTTACCCCATTTAGTCGTGTAGACGAAAGGCTGGTGAAATGTGATACTCAGTGACTTGATGCGTTTCCTAGTTTGCCTATAAAAACGGAATGTACATAATTTTAAAGAATGAATTTTCCTGCAACTATTAATCTTTCTTCTCCACTGTTAACTGACGTCACAGTGGGTGACAAGATTTGAGCAATATATCGTAAAGTAGTGTGTTATGTGGCTGCATACCGTAGCCAATTCGTTATGAATTGATAGGATGTATCTAACCCTACAAACCAATGCATGCAGTTTTCCCTCACGGTATGCTATGACATCTAGAAGTCAGAATCAAAGTGTCCTCATTTACTGTAACTGACTGCAAACGGGGAGTCAGCCGGCATTGTTGTAGTAGGAAAGACGACTTGAGACGCTCTAGCAGTCTAGATATTTTCTAAGAGATGTGAACATATTTCCTTTCTTTTATGGCGAGATGATCTTCTTACCAAGTAACATCTTGGGATTTCCACTTACACTTAGTACTAAAAACTGAAATAAAAAACGCCATGTTGTCAAATTATTCACAGGATGGAATAATGAGTCAACTAGTATTTGGGTGTACCTATTCTAGTGTATTTGAATGTATTGAATGACCTTTCTCTTCGAAATACTTTGCCTTAATGCATTTTACTTTGAAATATGAATATACTTGCCGGCTGATGTTGATGATCCATGCATTCACCTTCACCTTTTTATCTTTGTTCCTATTCGTCAGAACATATCTTTCCGAACTAACAACAAGTTATTATTATTTTCTAATGTAAACGATGGTAATAAGTTCATCACCTATTTGAACTTTCGAATTTTGAAGTATCAACTTTCCCCTAGGTAAGCACCTGCTTCGACCTCAAAAGATATTACTAACCTTCGAGTACAGAACTAGTTTTCTTCGTCATATACCATCCTTTCACCATGTATGCCTTGATAATAAGTACTGCTAACAAATTTATCAAGCAGCAAAATGAGTTGCATATTGACGGCAAAATATTCAAAAGCAAATGTCGCTTCAAAACTTGCTACTCGACATAAGAAATGACCCTTAACTAGAGAACTATGTGACTTGCAACATTCGCGAAAGTTAATATACAGTATCTCCAAGTGAAATATACATGCGAAGAGTGAAAAATAAATTTATTAGCAACTAAACGTAGAATGCAAGATCACTTGCTTCAGCAACGGGCCTCATGCAGTCACCGAGATTAGTGAGTAGCTAGGGAAAGAAAACACGAGTTCACAAGGCGCATATGTAAATATTACTATAAATACGGTAATTAACAGGTTAACGAGGCAAGAAGCACTGGAAGTTTGTTATATCAGTGCGCGATTACGTCGCTGAGTATTTCGACACAACCGAATATGGCAACTAATAATAATAAAATATATATTCTCAGTTTTTGTACATGAGGGACGCCAGTTTACAGGTGCCATCAATATGGTAAATAATACATACATGGAGTAACTATATTTACAATTTTTCACTTACACAGGATATATATGCAAGAAGAGGCAACGTTATAATGTCAATGAGCTCACTTTACATAGGTAAGAGCAATCTGCATGATGTAATCCTAGGCACTATCATTGTTTGAATCTGGCGAAAATGCAAGCAGCACCTAAAAGCTGCGTTACATGTGGTAGATACGGTAGGCTATTAACAAAAGTATAAAAGTGGCTTTTAAAACGATAGTCAGTTTACCGACAGCAATTTTTTCAGCAATGTAATCTGCAGAAGGCTCATC